ACTTGCAAGAGGCAGCCGATCCATGATTCTCTCTCATCATGGATGTTTCTATCTCTCTCTCTCCCTCTTCCTTCTTCATCTGAAATCAATATAAATATATTATTGTGACCTGAAGATTAGAAAGGCCTTGGCATATTCATATTTTACCAAGTTTTTCTTTCGTCCAGGTGTGTGGTTTCCCACTTCCCTTAACCCCAGTCATCTTTGCACTGTCTATTTCTGTCCCTGTCCCAGTTCACTTCGGAGTGCGGCAAGGGGCTTAAAGATGGAAATTTGTAATATAATGAATACCCCTACTTTCTGACACTCTTCATTAACAGACTTGAGGAACCATGTCATTTTCTTCTGTCCTTGATTCCTGTTCCTCATTCTGAAGAAAACGTCCTAGACTGGCTGGCCTACAGCCAATCTTGAAAAGCACAATTTTGTGCAGAGATGATAGAGAACGCTGAAAGATGCCCTGGACACGGCCCAACAAGGCTGGCAAAGAGGTACGAGTATATCCCGCCGTCTTCCCACCCTGATTAGGGAGGGAGGAAGAGGTGTCTGGTCCTCCCTGGGTGATGCTTCTTATCAGCGCTGGGCAGCCCAGCATGCTTGTCACTAACCAGGTCTGAAAAGAAGGTCAAATTAACATCTACTCCAGCCACACTCAGACATATTCTGCCAAAACGCACTCTCCCCGCCAAAATACATACTCACCCAAATACCCACCCTTGACAGTGATGTTCTTCAATATATAATAGTGCATGTTAACATCTGCAAACACACATTCGCAATCACTCCTACCCACAATGTCAGAGCAAGTAGGCACACTTAAGTATGTATGTTTGTTCATATATTTACTTCTTTCTCTCTGTCTCTGTCTCTCTGTCTCTGTCTCTGTCTCTCTCTCTCTGTCTCTCTCTCTCTCTCTCTCTCTCTCTCTCTCTCTCTCTCTCTCTCTCTCACACACACACACACACACACACACACACACACACACACACACACCTACAAACCCTACACATCCTGCCGTGTAGGAGTGAGCTGATGTCATCCTCCTAGAATATCTCAGCCCAGCCCCTGCCTTACTCGACCTCAGGTTTCTACACAAGGTCAGGAGAGTGGGAGGTAACCTTGGCGACCAAGCCAAGGCCCTGCAGGCCGAACAGGACCCTGGGAAGACAAGGGTAGCGTACTGCCTCTTGTTGCTCTTGACGGGGACAAGAGAGCAAGGCAGCAGGGCCAGAGCTGACTCCTCAGGACAGGGAACCCGTCTGGATGGGGATTTGGTCTGAGGGGGGCAATTGGGATGCTTTGGGTCACTCAGTGGGCCTTACAGGTGGGCATCCAGGACCAGGGGAGCAGGGGTCGCAGGCACAGAAGTTTCTGGTCCAGGTGAGGCATACACATGTCCAAACCCACTTCCGCCACTCTCTGCCCTCTGGCAATGGGCGGAGTCCCGGGTCAGTGCAGTGTGTCGGGACATTTCACGTTCAAAATTCAACTCAAGGCCCTTGGGGGAAGGGGAAGAAATGAATGAGGAGGAAGGGGAGGAAGAAACCCGGAAGAGGAGGAGGGGAAGGACCCACTGTCCTTATCCTGATGATCAAGATGCTTCTTGGCTGTGCCAGGGAGAGGGAGGCAGCCAGTAACACACAAAGGCAAAAAGAAGTGAAATCTGGCCCTTTGAGCTTTTAAGGATCTTGGTCCTAGCAATAGAAGGGCAGTTTCAAGAAATTTCAAAAAGAATTTGTACTATAATGTATTTGACCTTATAAGGAACTTATTTGAGACCCAAATCCCGAGTTGGGAGCGGTATACAATTGCACTGTTAGTGACTTGGGAATAAATTTGACTGTGAGATAAATTAAGCTTCCTTTTCCTAGGTTTGTGTGAAAAAGAAAAGAGGCTGAGAAAGTAGGGGGTGTGCCTTCTGGTTCTTATTGATAATCTATACTGTCTACAGAATTCGGGAACTAGCCACCAATGATACAGCTATCACACACCCTGGGTAATGGGCAAGGGTGGGGATAAGGTCTGCTTGTTCCTGTTGAAAAAATGCACACTAACACACACACCCCGTGCATCATCACCACCTGGAAAACCAGCTCTGTAGGACCACGTGGGACCCTGGGCCATGGTAACAACAGCACAGGGGCTCCGTGGTCTAACCTGAAGTCAGCAGCTATGCTCCTAGTTCTGGCTTTTCGGGAACCAGCTGTGTGACCTGGGGAGTGATACAAAAATCCACATAAGGACAGAATTCTAATTCCTCAGGCAAAAAACAAACAGTCAGGTGATGGCCTGTCAAAATACCTTTTTCATCAATTCTGGATGAAAGCAAGGCCGGGACACCAGATCCCTGTCAACAGCACACCAGGAAGAGATTGTCTTCAGATTCAGGTGCTGAATGATACTGTACACCTGTCTGTAGCTGCTTTCCTGACTTCCTTGGAGTCTGACCTTGGTCAGTGCTGGTCTTGCGGACATCGGGTCTCTTTGGTGTGACGCTCTCTTGGTCGTCTTATATCCAGTTCCAGCCCTGTTCCCCCGTCAACGGGCAGAGGTAAGCGTCTCATCTGGCCCGATCCAGCTCTGGGAAGGAGCCAGCAAAGAGGACAACTAGGAACTGTGTTCGAGGACAAACATGAGAATTCCAGGCGCGCATGCAGCAGTGGAGCAGGGCACCTGAAGCCTGAACTGTCCTGGAAATGGAGGGTGTATGAGCATAGGAACCTGTTGTCAAGCAGCTTGCAACTGTGGAGGCAAGATGTCAACTTCTAAAATGATCACCGTCAGTACCAAACAATAGATTATTAATGCCAAGTGTGGGAGGTACGACTAACATGAATTCCGCAGTGGGAAAATGGCCAGGGCAGGAGTTCAAGGTGGGAGACCAAGCTGAACGGTGCCTCCGGGAGTGTGGAGGACCGGGAGGGGTGGGAAGGGAGCCGGGAGGAACCTAAGAGGCTAGGACATGAGCTATTAGTACAGCAAGGCAGGCATGTTCAGGCATGCCGGGATCGGGTACCAGGATACAGGGCAGGGATGGGGATCACGGGCAAAATGTTGAGGCCTTTGGACTGCAGAGCCGGTGTGGTGCTTAGAGAACAGTAAGGAGAGTGACTCTGGAGAATAAAGTGAAGAAAACCTAAAAAGGCAGATGGGGCCAACGTATGAAAGGTCTTCCCTATTAGGCCAAGGAGTCCAGGCTTACTGCGGAGATAAAGGGGCAGGGCATCTCAGATGCCCTGAGCGTAGGAAGAGAAAGCGAATGCAGGACTCTGCTCACCGTGGGAGGGATGATCTGACAGGTTCCACTGCAATCCTCTAGATATGAAGAAGCAACACGTCTGGGGACTGGGTCTGAGGAGCAAAGTACAGGAAAAACCAAAAAAAGAATGCGTTTTGTGGGTGGGGTAACGGGATAAATGATGGTGTCTCAGACACAATGGAGACCAGGAAGAGCTGGCTCTGGAGAAGAGAAGTGGCTGAGACTGCCAGGAGCTGGTGGCCGGACATCTAAGGGGAGGGACCGCCCGGGTAGGAGGAGGAGCGGGATGAGGGGCACCACGTTGGGCTGTGCAGATGTGAAAGTCAGTTGTAAAAAAATAAAAATAAACATCAAAACGGGCCACATGAATAGGCTCTCTCTGAGGAAGGAAGGTGAGAGGAAACAGAAGAGAGAGGGGTGGACACGGCGCAAGGTGAGGGGACAGGGCAGGAAGACACCCGGGGCAGACACGGCCAGCCGTGGACCTTGGTAGAGGAGCCCGCAGGAGACTTCCCTCAGAAAAGGTGGTCAGCAGGGCCCAGAGGTCAAGGACAAGCATTTACAGAGGCCACTGGGTTTGCCCATTTCACACGTATGTATGCCAGCCCGTGGGATGTTGGTTAGAAGCCACCACAGACGTCCAGGAGAGCCAGGCCCTGAGCACAGTCCTATGTGTGGAAGAGGGAGCTTCTGAGGCTGGACTCTGTTCCCTGAGGAGCCCTGTGTACAAAAGCATCAGTCCGAAATGAGGAAGGACCAGGGGTGGGGAAGGAGAAAGGAGGTGTGGATGGCAAAATGCATACAGTAGAGAGCAGACCCCTTATTAAAAAATGTTGGCATTTAAAGGAAAACCAGAAGTAGGAAAATAACTCGTGGGGACTAGAAAAACCTTGCCAGCTCCCCACAACCACCCACTCACCCACCCACCAACAGGCGAGCCTGGGGACTGGGTCTGAGGAGCAAAGTATAGGAAAAACCAAAAAAAGAATGCGTTTTGTGGGTGGGGTAACGGGATAAATGATGGTGTCTCAGACACAATGGAGACCAGGAAGAGCTGGCTCTGGAGAAGAGAAGTGGCTGAGACTGCCAGGAGCTGGTGGCCGGACATCCAAGGGGAGGGACCGCCCCGGGTAGGAGGAGGAGCGGGATGAGGGGCACCACGTTGGGCTGTGCAGATGTGAAAGTCAGTTGTAAAAAAATAAACATCAAAACATGTCCAGGCTGGAGAAAAGGCCGCTTTAGAGGCAGGACTCGAGGGCAGGACGTAAACAGAAGGCAGTCCCCATTTCCAAAGAGCCAAAGAGGGAACCCATCCCCACTAGTTAAGGAACAAGACAAAGCGGTAAATGGGGACGGTCCGGGTGAGTGATGATGTTGGCGAGTGGTTGGAAAAATGTGGGCGTCCGAAAGGGGGATTTACTGGGAGAGAGGGTATCCGCGAAGGCTTCCTGGAGGAGGTGGCTCCAGCCCGTCAGGAAGGGCGGAGAGGAAAGGTCGGGGAACCCCCGGCCCCGCTCCCAGGGGCGCTCTCCTCCAGGCCCTCCGGGCCTCCCAGATCCCCTTCCGGCGCCTGGGCCTGGGCGCGGAGCTCCGGTTCCCAGCACTGACGTCAGCGGGCAGTGACCTCAGAGCGAAGGGGGCGGGGCGGGCGTCTCCTGCCCCGCCCCCATCCGCTGGCGGCGACCAATGGGCGCGGCCGTGGCTGCCCCGCCTCCTCCGCAGGGGATGAAAAGGCGCCTCCTGGTGCCGCTGGGCAGAGCCCCCGCCGCGGACGAGCGAGCACCCCAGGAGTTGCGGGACCCCCCGAACCCTCTCCTCTCAGCCCCCCGCCGCCGCCGCGCCGGAGCCAGCCGCGCACATGAGCCAGAACAGCCGGACCGGGAAGAGGACACTCATGCTCCCCGAGATCGCCGCCGCCGTGGGCTTCCTGTCCGGGCTCCTGCGGACGCGGGGCTGCGTGAGCGAGCAGCGGCTCAAGGTGTTCAGCGGGGCGCTCCAGGAGGCGCTCGCAGGTGAGCGCGGGGTCCGGGCCGCCACCCCGCCACCGGGCTCAGCCCCCCGCCCGGCGCCCTTCCTCCTCCTCGGCCAGGGGAGTCTCTGCTTGGGACTCGGCTCCCCTCCAGCCCGGGGCGGTCCACAGGCTCCCGTGCCCCGGGCCACGTCTCTCGCTCTGGTGGTCCTTGGGGACGGAGCGAGCGCAGATTGATCTTAGTCCTGGAGTGCGAGTCTGACCCCGGCGCCGCCCGAAAAAAGGGGTGCCTGCTGGTTGGTCCGAGGGCGGGCCGATCGCCCTCCCTGGACCCCCCCGAGACACCCCGGACTCTGCGGCGACCCATCCGGCCGCCGGGGAGGGAGCCCCTGGGGAGAGGACCCTTTAGGGAGGGAGCCCCTGGGGAGAGGACTCTTGGGGGAAGGCTCCCCTAGGGGAGAGGACCATTTAGGGAGGAGCCTTGGGGAGAGGAGGCGCACTCGAGCCTTCTCAGCCGCCCCAGTCCCAGCGCCCTGCTTCCGGCTGTGCGCGCGCGGCTCGGGGCGAGTTGTTGACTCGCTCCAAGTTGGAATCGGGCTCCTTTTGTATTTATTCTCCCGTCCCCGGAGATCACCCCACCTACCAGGGGGGTGATCGAGCCTTGTAGAACGTTATTGGCTCCCGGGGAGTGTGTGATCGGCGGGTGCTGGAGATCCGGGGAGGTGGACCGGGGATAAGCAGCTGCTGGCAGGCCGGGGAGCGGCCTGTCCCCCCGCTGTCTCAGCCCCCGGGCCGGGGTATCCGTGCCCACGCTCGGCAGGTCCCGTTCGCTGGGGAACATCATGTTCCAGTAAAGCAACCCTATGGGACTCCCGAGCCAGCCAGTGGTCGGATCCTCTGACTTTCGAAGGAGGCAGAGGGAACCTCTGGGGCCCGGGCTGGGAGGCGCAGTAGTTTGCTGAGGGTCCAACCACCGAGGCTGGTCTTCCTGGGTTTGAAACTGAAAGTCATGGCAAACCACCTTGTTGACTTGAAACCACCGGTCGCTTCCTCTCCTTCACCCCCCCCCCCCCCCCTTGCAGGCATGGCACCCCTGGCCCAGCCGCTCTAACCAAGGGATCTCCCCTTTGTCCTGTCCCCACAGAGCACTACAAACACCACTGGTTCCCCGAGAAGCCTTCCAAGGGCTCCGGCTACCGCTGCATCCGCATCAACCACAAGATGGACCCCATCCTCAGCAAGGTGGCCAGCCAGATCGGACTCAGCCAGCCCCAGCTGCACCGGCTGCTGCCCCGCGAGCTCACCCTGTGGGTGGACCCCTACGAGGTGTCCTACCGCATCGGGGAGGACGGCTCCATCTGCGTCTTGTACGAGGAGGCCCCGCTGGTGGCCTCTTACGGGCTCCTCACCTGCAAGAACCAAATGCTGCTGGGCAGGACCAGCCCCCCCAAGAACTACGTGATGGCCGTCTCCAGCTAGCTCCCCGGCCCCCCGCTCCGCACTCCACTGTACTCACCGCGAGGGGACAGCGGGCCACGGCATACCTCAACCTGGGGAACTGCGTTTTACATGAAGAGCTATTTATATATATTATTTTTTTAAGAAAAGGGGAGGAAAAAAAAACCGTAAAGATGTTTTTTTTTTTTTTTTAAGAAAAAAAAAATCCTTAAAGGGTGCTGCTTGGAAGCGGCCTCCCCAGGTGCCTTTGGAGAGAACTGTGGTGGCTTCAGTCTGGGGAGGCCGGTGTCTGCCGATGGGAGGGGGGCCCGACCAAGGTGGGGAGGTGGGAGAAGCTGGGCCGGCACCCCAAGATGTGAGAGGGAACAAGCGTGCTGAGCAGCTGTGAACGAGAGAGATGGGACCTCGCCCTCTCCCCCATCCAGACACCTGCATCCCTGACCTCAGGGCCGTTCAAGCCTGGACTTAAACTCACGTTGCCTCATCTTCACTTTTTGTTTTTCTGATGAGACCCTGGGCAGAGAGTGATCCCAAACAGCTTTTCTTGGAATCATCCCTTGTTTCTAATTCTGTCCTCAGGGGCCTGTCGGTAGTGTTGCTTCCCAGCCAGGAGTCGAAAGCTTTTTGTGTTTTGTGGGGTTCACGGGAGTGAGGCAGGGCTGGAGGAGATGGGGGCTGGGGTGGCAGAAATCTGCACAAATCCGCTTTGCAATGTGCTGCTCTGTGTGCGAGTGTGCTGAAGAGCTTGGGGGTGATTTGCAATGGACTTTTTAAGACCCAAAGAGCGTCCGCTGGGTATTGACAAAACCCTTCTTTCTGGATCCATAAGAAAGTGCTAATGCTGCTGCCACGATCCCTTTGAGAGGTGGCTCAAAAGCTACAGGGAACTCCAAGTCCCTCATGACTGCCTTCTTTCTAAAAGCACAGCACTCCTCTCCCACTCTCCCCGCTCCTCTCCCCTCTGGTTGGGCCACGGAGCGATCCTGTTTTCTCAGTCACTGTGCAATATGGCCTCCCAGTCCCAGGAGGACGTGGAGGACTGGCCCTCAGGACCTCCTGGTGCTCCAGGGGGCAGGGGAGCCTCTCTCCCTCTGTCCCCGGAACTGGCTGGCTGCTCAGCTCGCAGGTGCCCCTTGGCTGACCCCGGAAAGCCCAGGTTCTGGAGGATTACTGGGCATTCTTGTAGGGCTGACACTAAACACCACACATCGGCCATTGCTTTTTCTCCCTGGTGCTCAGAGCGCCTCTGGGAGAGGTTGCTGTCTCTCTCAGTGCAATCCAAATTTGTCTGTAGACGTGTGCAATATTTACTGTTTGGGGTTGGAGAAAAATGGAAAAAAAACTACCTGTTTCTCAGTGACATCCATGAGGGGTTCTCGGAAGGCCTTGAGTTTCCCAAACCTGTATCACCTTAAAAAAAAAGGACATTGCTGGGCCATCTGGTCAACCTGGCTACCCTCCCGCTATTAACCCTTAGTGAGGAATCTTCTGCCCCAACCCCAGAATCTCCTCCCCCCTGTACCCCCTTGCCTGGGTGTCTTAACTACTCAATTCTGACTCAGAGGTGCTATTTACCAAACACTCTCCCAACCCATTCCTGCCTATTCTGCCTCCTCCTTTCCAACTCTCCAGATCCAAGCTGTTTTTCCCCAGACCCTGATTCCAGTCTTAATTGCTTTAAAAGGGGACTTGGGGCCCCACTGGCCCAGGAGCTTACATTCGGGCCTGTGGGTTGAAACAAAGCTGTGAATCCATGAAGATTTTGCCGTTGCACGTCACAAACAGGTCCTGCCTTTTCAGAAGCAGCCTCGTGGTCTCATGCTTAATCTCTCTCTTCTTTCTGACGTTCACTTTAAAAACGAAATGCCCAGAGCTGGACTGTTGAGCAGGCCTGTCTCTCCTATTATAGGTGAAAATAAATAGTAGTGCATTTGTAAGCTATTCTGAAAGAAAAGACAAAGGTTACTCATTGTATAATAGTGTTTTTATATGGAAGAATGTACAGCTTTATGGACAAATGTACACTGTTTTGTTACTTTAATAAAACTGTAGCAGATGAAGTTGTGTGGCGTAGAGAAGGTAAAATCCCTGCATCGCTAATTTGGGTCTCGGATCTAGATCCCCTATGTCTTCAGTTGCACTCAGAAAGCCTTGTGGTCGGATAAAAGGAAAATCTTAAGTGGTGTGGTGAGGGCATTTCCAAGCATCCCCTCTTCTCCAGAAAGTAGCTCCATATTGTCCCCCTCTGATGCATGTTCTGTGAAAATGCTAGATGTGAGAGGATTCATCTGATGTATCCTTGCTAGGCCTCAGCTGTACACTTTCCATTCAGCAAGAGTGTATGGTCAGAAAGTTCTGGGCGCTGGAAACATCAAAGGTGCTTAGACACAGCCTCTCCTCTCACAGAGGGGTGGCGAGCAGGGAACCCCTCACCCCTTCCCAGGTTGGGGCAGAATTGTTAGAAATTCCTGGTGCAGGCTCTCCTGAGCTCCCTGGAACTACCATCTGCTGCCCTCCGTTCTTGTCTAGTTAGACAGAATGGTGGGACTGCAGTTGTTGCTACCGAGGTCGCAAGTGCATTTTTGACCTGAGCTGGTTTTTTGTTTTGTTTTTCTTGGCCATCGGTGTGCTGTCTTTAAAAATTAAACATGTTGACTCATGAACTATGGGATCCCCCTCCCCCCCCCACACACACACTTGTTTCACTCCTTCATGACCTCATCAAGAAACATGTAGTGACCTAGGTGTGCTAGGTAGAAGGTGAGCCCTGGAGACAATGATAGGCTGGAAGGGTAGGTGAGCCAGAATATGGGGATGAGGGAAGGCCGCTCACCTGTGTCATAAACAGAATTGGTTACTGGGACCCACTTGTGTCAAGATGTGATTTAAAGGAAGGTTCCCGGGTTCATTTGTAACTCCTGATACAAATGTCTTACACACTCCTGTATAGGGACCTACTCTTTTGGATGTAAGGACCCAGTGTTAAGGTTGAATTTTCTCCCATCCAAGAGCACTCTGCTCTTGTTTGGTACAAAGTCAGCATCTATCTTGTTTCCTAATAGGCCCCACTCAGGATGGGTGTTTCATTTAGTAGGAAACCTGAAGTTCCTGAGAGCTTGTCTAGAAGTTAAGGAGACATCATTCCCAACCCCTGTCTCCAAGCCACGGAGACTGCAAGATGGCAGGGCTGCTCTTAGCTCTGAGCAGACCAACAGTCCTTCAGTTTTCGTGAAAGGGTCTGTGATCAAGCAATGTGTTATTTGCTTTAGATCTGATCAAATTCAGGAGGTGTGGAGAGTGCCCCTGGCCAGCTGGGGTGCAGGGGCTGTGGACGGAACTGCCTCCAGAGCTGCAGGTGGCAGCTGTGTTGAGGACTGAGCAGTAGTCAGTTCTGCTCCCAGCTTCCCCAGTTGGTAAACAGTTGCAGTCTGCCTGAGCCGTGGGAGACCTGTGCTCCTTAGTCAGCTGTTTCTGGATGATAATGCACCTCCCAGAGAGTGTAGACAAGGCCCTGGGAGCTGCAGATTAAGAGCCTTACTGGCTCCTGATAAGGAGGTTTGGGTGGGGCAGTCTATGAGGCTGCAACAAACAAGCTCCAGGAGGAAGAGACTCATTGCTGTGAGCCTGACATCTGATCACGTATAGCCTTTGGGAAGCAACACGGGCCTCCAGGCTTCCCCACTCAGCAAAGCCTGGCAAGGACAGGGACAGAGGGAAGAACTGAGCATCCTGGGGGCACATGGAGGGGATAGGGAAAGATGTCACTGGACATGTGCCTGGGAGAGATGGTCTGAATCTTGAGAGACGAGTTAACCAGGAAAAAGTGGGTGGGTGAAAGGAGGACAGGGAATTCCTTGAGCAAAGGCCCAGAGGCTGCAGTCCTGGGCACAGGGTAGTGGACACCAGTTGAATGAGGGTGGAGAGAGCTGCCTCCAGCTGAATCCTTGCAGGGGAAGCCGAGGTCCCACTGCGTGCCCTTGGTCCTATCAGGAACATGCTGGGTGCTCCTTCCTGAGACTGTGGCCATGGTGACAGCCTGCTGTTGATGTGCTGGATGCAAAGTCTTCTTCCTCCTTTGGGGAAGCGCTCGGGGGCGGGTTGTAAACCCCATATCCCCACACCCGGGTGGTCCCAGTGCATCACAGGTAAATGAGGGCCTATGAATGCATGTACTTAAAAAAAAAGCATTTAACCTGTTTTTTTAAATGCTTTTATTGATTTTTTGAGAGAGAAAGGGAGAGGTGTAGAGAAACAGAAATATGGATGAGAGAGAAACATCGGCTGCTCCTGCACACACACACACACACACACACACACACACACTTACTGAGAATGGAGCCCATAACCTGGGCATGTGCCCCAAAAGAGAATCAAGCCTTGACCTCCTGGTTCATGGGTTGATACTGAACCACTGAGCCACTCTAGACAGGCTGTTTAACACTTTTTAAAACATAGTTAACAGCATTATAATTTAGGGAGATGTCAACTAAAAGTACATCTCAGGTGTCTCTTGAAAAATCATCATTGTTATCACTGGTCTCCCAGAATGACAGTGGACTAGCTCCAAGGAGTGGGGTGGGGGTACAGACAAGGCTTGAGCTTGCTCTCCCGGTTTAGCACAGCCTCTGTCTCACCCATTGACGTCCTGGCCCACCCCCTATCCCCTGGAGCTCACTGAACTTTAAATGGCCCCTCCCTGCTGCTGGTGGTAAATAAAGTCACCTTTGCTTCAACCGGCCCAGCTACACCCCTCTTATCTGATGTGCTCTGGGCAGTCCATCGGGTTTCCTGGACAAGGGTTCAATTGAGACCTGCCCTTGTCTATGGGTCTGGAGCTGGGGAGTGGTAGAGCCAGGTGGCAGCTGGGAACAAAATGCCTTGGAGCTGATGGGTCCAGAGCACCAGGCTCCTATCAAAGTTGGGGGGAGGGCCGGCTGCACTTCTAGGGTACACTCGCTTGTATAAGATTGTTATCTAAAGCCCTGGCAGCTTCCTAGACTGGATGCAAACATTTTTCTTGTCAGTTCTATAAAGAAGTGATGTGGAGAGAACGCTAGACCTCTCTAGAAGTCTGGCTTGTCCTTTTCTTTTTCTTAAAAAAAAAATTTTTTTTTTATTGATATTCCACAGAGAGAAAAGGAGAGGGATAGAAAGCTAGAAACATCAATAAGAGAGAAACATTGATCAGCTGCCTCCTGCACACTCCCCACTGGAGTATGTGCCTGCAACCAAAGCACATGCCCTTGACCGAAATCGAACCCGGGATTCTTGAGTCTGTAGGCTGACGCTCCATCCACTGAGCCAAACAGGTCAGGGCAATTTCTGCTTTCTTTCCATGTCCTTTCCAACGTCCTCATTTCTCTCTCTCTTCTGGGAAGGGAGAGCACGTGGGTGTGATTCTACAGGTGGGCGGGATGGAGGTAAGCAAAGTTGTTAGTGGAAAATCCCTTTCCCGCCCACTCTGTGTCTGAATGAGCATGTATTCCAGTTTGGTATTAATCACAAGTGGACCATGGAGCCAGCAAAGCTGCTCTGTGGGTCAAAGCTGCTCGGTGGGCCAAGATGAGCTATCTGGCAAGGACACCGCCATTTCTGCAAGAATGATAGCAGTCAGACATGAGTTTATTCATTCATTCAGTAGGTTCTTCTAGTGCCTATTATAGGCTACATATGATACTAGGATGGGCTTTGTGACTACAAAGATTTTTTAAAACAAAGGATTGAAAGCCATTTTTCTATGGGAGAGGACACAGACTTGCTTAGATGGTTTTGAATCTAGCCATTTTTGGAGGCACTAGTAGGAACTATTACTTTAATAATGGTTTCCTTCCAGTTGTCAGAATGCCAATATCCTTATTCATCTCAGGACCAATTGGCAGCCCCTTGAAGAGATGAGGTTTTAACTTCTACTTAAAACTACAGTTCCCATTTACTGAGTAACTTAAATGTAAAAAGCACTAAGTCTAATTAATCCTCATGACAACAATGTGAGATGGATTGTTTTTTATAAAAATATATGTTTTTATTGATTTCGGAGAAAGGAAGGGAGAGGGAGAGCTGGAAACATCCATGAGAGAGAAACATGAATCTGCTGCCTAGATGGAGCCAGCAACCAGGCCTGTGCCCTGACCAGGAATGGGACTAGCGACCTCTTAGTGCATGGGACAATACTCAACCAACTGACCCACACCAGCCCAGGCTGGACTGTATCTCTAATCCATTCTCACAAGTGGAGAGCTGGGGGCCTGGTTAGTGCAGTGACGTGGCCCAGGGTGCACAGCCAGTAGGTAGGTGGTAGAGCTGATGAGAGAACCTTCCAGACAGCCTCACACCAGAGTCCCGAGCGCCTCACCTCTTTGCAGCCGCCTCCCTGCTGCTTAGAAGCTGAAACCTCTCCAGGCAGGAGTTCGATGCAAACAAGAGGAGACGAGTGCTCATTGCCCTTCCCGGCCCCTAAAAACTTCAGTTCCACTAATTGAAAATGATGATAATTACTATGCTAATGTGCCCTCCAGTGATTGCCGGGATAATGGAGATGATTTAGAATCAAAAGCTGAAGAAAGGAATGGAAATCATTTCATCCAACCCTTTAATTTCTGAGTCAGGAAAATTGAGCGGCTTGTCCAAACTCACACAGCTGGTGAGGAAGGAGAATCCAGGCTACCACCCAGAGAGTCTCCCTCCCAGTCCAGATGTGCACCCGGAGGGAGGCTCTGCACCCAGCACATCCACAGCAGGCTGTCACCATGGCCACGGTCTCAGGAAGGAGCACCCAGCATGGTCCTGATAGAACTCAGGACCCGCGTGGGACCTCGGCTTCCCCTGCAAGGATTCAGCGGGAGGCAGCTCTCCCCACCCTCACTCAGCTGATGTCCACTACCCTGTGCCCGGGACTGCAGCCTCTGAGCCTTTGCTCCTACATGTGCTCCCATGATGCTCAGTTCTTCCCTCTGTCCTTGTCCTTATGACTTCAATTCTTAGCGAGAACGTGAGCCCAGGACCTTGCCAAGCAGTGTCTGGGGCCTCATAAGCGTTAGTGAATATTTGTTGAACAAATGTC